CTATGAAAACTAGGTGATATGTTCAGTATTGTACTCCATGGTCACCGTTGCTTTCTAAGACTTTGTTTTTTTTTATCAGTTCAGAAGACAGCAAATTACATAATTATATAAATTTCTTGAAAGGGGCTCTTGTGATGCATTGGTAGTGTACCTTCCCAGGTTCAAATTGAAACAGAGGTGTGTCTGAACAGATTGATCAATGACACCTATAATTCTCTTGAAGTATTTTAGCATTTTATTGAAATTCTTTCTAATTTATTGAGTGATTGCATGCCTGCTGATGGGTACAGAAGGTTTAGAGTCAGCTTACTTAGTTGAAATGTGACTGAATGGAAGAGATTCAACAGCTATTTGATCTTCGTCTGCTTTCCTATTTTTGCATATTTTGTATGTGATATGTCCGAATACCATTCTGAATGGACGCTAAGAAATGTCAGGTCAAGTAAATGGTATCTATGTAAATATTAATGACAGCAGGATAAAGTCTGAGTAGTGTCTTAACCTTATCTATTTGCAGGGTTAGTTTAACTCTTCTAGATATGTATGGTTATGTACTAATTAGGATAATTTCAATCTTCCAGAAGATTTTATGATTGAACATTGCAAAATATGAGTTGTTACTGATTAGATTTTAATTGCCATTATTAAGTAACTTTTCTTTGCTAATGTGCTCTGAATGATAGGATGCTTTTGTCACAACTTACACTAACTCAGGAGCTGAATGGAAAAGGATCACCAGTTTTATTGGTTATGCTTCAGAATGAATTTACATTGCAATTTTAGAACAATGTGAAGCAGTTTTACTTTCTGTTGATGCTGAAGTTGTGGACCAGGTGTTTACATGAAAATTTCGTTTGTAACTTTGGTGTAAAACTTTTTCCATCAAAGTTATAAATGGGGAGCAGCGAGCAGCTATGGAAATTTAGGGCCACATTATAAATGAGTCTTAAATCTGTAACTGCAAATCTCACTTCATTTTGATTCAGATCCAATCTTAATTCTGCAATTGCACTACATAAATTTATCAGTACTTTGCACTGGCACTGTTGCAAATTCGCATCTGCTGTGGATGTTCGGGCACCAGTCACTCTCAAAACTTGTATTTTGTGGAAGTTGATTTGTGCAGGAATGTAACCCAATGAAGTCTACAGCAGCATCTCCTTGTGATCAAACCAAATATCTGTGCCTTTTGCACAAATCATTCTTCAATTGATCTGAAGGCAGACCAAGCAAACATTTCTTGAGAAGAGATCCTGTATAAATAAACATGCTGCTTTATTTGACGACGAGGTAAAATGGCTACAACTTGGCAATGTTGTGCAGAGCAGGAGCAGAGAAGGAAAGGAAGGGAAGCAAATTTACATTCCAGATCCCATGCAATTTGCGGGACTTCATGTCCTATGTGCCCCAACCGGTCTGTTCAGTCACATGATGACCCATGCAGAGACTTATGACCCTGAGTAGATACTATCTACAAATTGTAACACGTTTGATAACAACAGTACAGAATGACAGTTCTAACGGTATTCACTCAAAGTCACTGAAACATAAAATAACTTTCAGCATTTCTTTTTACATTAGATGTAAAATTTCGTGCTGCAGTTTCCTCTTTTCATGCAATTCTGGCCAAAGCAAAAATTAAAAAAACCTTGTAGTTTCCAGCACATTTGAATAAGATATGCATTTTGTTTTTTTCATTGGCTGGTTACATCAATAGACCTTGTCCCTCTAATTAGATTAGCACATTTGGAAATGCTTATGCATATTCATATATCCTAAACTGTGGATTGGAAGGAAACAAAATACTTTTCACACGTTAGCACTTTTGGATATCAAATCAGAACATAGAGTCATAGAACACAGAAGGAGGCCATTTGGTTCATTATGCCTATTCTTTGCAAGAACTACCCAAATTACTCCTCTGCTCTTTCCACACAGCTGTGCAAATATTTCCTCTTGTGGGACACACGGCTCTTCTGTTGAACCCCTTATTAAATCTCTTAACTATGACTGTCCAGTAACTTAAGTATCTCTTATCAAGATTTTGAGAAATTCCTCTACGTATGATAGAAATATACAATATTTTCATCTATTTTATATAGGAAAGGAATAAGGTTAACAGGAAAAATGATATGATCTATTTTAAGCTCTGTAATGTTTACAAAAACAATTGCAGTTACAAGAAAAAATGTATTTTCCATGACATAGTTAATGCAAGATGAGACATTTACTCCAGTTTCTGCAAACAGTCAGGTATCTGGTCTTTCCTCGATAATTTATTTTGTAGAAAGCTTTTCATCTATGAGAGAAATTATTGATGTGAAACCAAAATGATATTAGATGCTGCATATAACAAATTACAAGCTGAAGTTTAATCAACAATATATCAACCTCAGAAAATATTCATGATGCAATGTGAAATTTTCCATTTGCCACATCAACTGTCCATGTGGTCTCTTTGTATCAAACAACTGGATCAAATCTTGGCTGATTTTGAATGGTTTCAAACTATACGAATAAGTGCACAAATAACTGGATTAGTACACCAGATTTATGGACCTTCCAGTTATGGGACTCTATACTCAGTTTTCTGACATGACCTTTAACTTGAGTCATAAAGGATATTGTTCTAATGTACTTGAATTTGACTCAGAATATTGCACAAAATGGGTGGTAATGAATCAGCAGTTGGTGTGCAGCTCTGCTGCCATCTACACCTTAAAATCAGATGCAATACAACATTTGGGCAGTCATGATTGCCTACTTTGTAATTTCCTTCAAGATAAACCATGTCATTTACATGATCTAATCCTTTCTTTTCCCGACTGTACCCTTTTACAACTTACTGTTTGATCTGCTTTTGACCCCTGAAGCTGTAATGACATTTTGTCCTTATTGTTGTAAGCACATCCAGATTAATCTTCTCTTGCCAACCGAATACCTTCTTACCAAATTCCTTGAGAAAATGTTAACTTAACCCACTTGAGGGTAAATTGGTGAATAAGAATGCCGCATGATTTGGACACATGCAACTTTAATGTATACTTTAATTTCTCCCCACGGATGCTGCTGGACTTGCTGAGCTTTTCTAGCAATTTCTGTTTTTGTTGTTAATGTATAAAGGCTTCATTAAAAAGAAAATTTCACAGGGTGTGAAAATTAATGCATTCTATCAGTTTTTCACTTAGTAGATTAAGTTAACATTGCTCCTGTTGTATCTTCAGGTACTAACATTAGAACACATTAACCTACCAGCCAAAGTCAAAAAGATTTCCATCTGGCTGATCCTAATATCTAAGAAATATCATATATTATGATACATCTCATGTCCTTCCAAATAAGTTTTTCCTGCTCCATATCTACCTTTCTTGAAATTGATGTGACAACTACTGCCTCTAAAGTAGTCCTTACCATGCATTCACCTCTTTTGCAAAATGCATTGCATCTAATCTTTATGTATACCTTCTGTCATTTAGAGTTGTGTCTATTACCCCTTGCAGAATCTATGACCACATGAAATGCACTAATGTTAACCTTATCTGTGCTCATTAGGATTTTGGACACTTGAGCAAGATAACCCTAGATACTTTCTTTAGTCTTTAGGTGTAAATACTTTCTGTTTCTGCTGCTGCCACTCCTGATTACTCAAGTGGCTAAAGCCAGCTATCCATTTAGAAGTCCTTTACCGCACCCTTTCTGATGTCTGGACGTTTTTATAAATATGATAACAAGGATTATACATTAATTTCCAAGTCAGGCATGAGCAGTACCTGATACAAATTCTGAATCACTTCATAAGATTTCTGTTCTATTCCTCTGGCTAAACAGTCCAATTTCCCATTTGCTTTATTTACTGTTGTCATACACTGTGCTAATGGCTACACACATCTATCCACCCATTTGCCATATCCATCTTCCGTATCACATCTTTACACAAAATCACTCTTCAATGGTTCCACAGCTTCATATTTCTCATTAAGCTAACTAATTACAGAATATACGCTTAATGTTGCATGAAGACACAAATGCTAGTTTATGTATGATTCAATTGAATTTTATTTGTCTCGACTGAGGCAAACTTAAAAACTCAGGTTGATATTTAAGAAAATGAAGACGTAACTTATAGACACATTTTGGGCCATCTCAAGTGTTAAAGTATATCTAAAACTTTAAATGATTTCATTATTGCACATTTACATTTCAATAGTTAAACCAATACTTAACCTAAACAGGTATGGGAGGTAGTGGAGTAATGGGAATATCACTGGACCAGTAATCTGGAGGCCCATGGCAAATTGTGAAATTTGTATTCAATTAATAAATTTGGAACTAGTGAGTCTAATGGTGACAAAGAAGTCATTATTATTAATTACTGTAAAAGCCCAGCAGGAAAACCAACCCTGGTTCATTGAAGAATGTAGGAGGGCATGCCAGGGACTGCAGGTATACCTAAAAATGACATCCAACAACCAATGGATCACAGCTAAACACTGCACTCCATGCAGCAAATGGAGGGGAAGAGTTGGCATTGATTTGCTATGGGGGCATAGAGTAAGATGAAGAGCAAGGGCTGAAAATACAACCTAGCAACTAAGATGATGTTCCAGAAGACGAATGCAGGCTTTTTAACCAGGCCACCCTGGTAACTGACCGGCCCTGTGGTTGCCTCCAATCTGCTTCCAGGAGTGGTGGGCAACGAGACTGACCAGATCCCACACCCTGTTAGCACTTATGGTCACCTCTCCACCACCCGCTTCCCCACAAAGAGTGAAGATTTGCACTATCTCATTTGAAGTGAGCTGAACACCTTGGTAGCAATAATTCAGGCAATTGCATTTTCTTTTAGCATTGGGTCAGCTGGTGTAAACTCAGTTGCTAGAGCATGTCTTCTTTCATCCTTATCACTACATCTCAAACAAAGACCAGAATTTGGCATATGCAATAAATCTGTCTGAAAGGCTGTCAACCTGAAATGTTAACTCTTGTTTCTGTGCCCACAGATGCTGCCTGACCTGCAGATCATCGTTTTGCCTTTTTAGTTTATTTGATTTTCAAAGCAACTTACAGCATTAATTTCTCATCGAGTTGCAGAACTGCAGAGGAATCTATGACTTGTAGTTACATGTCCTGGCACTCCCTGAGGTACAGTGAAAGTTCCATTGTCAAGTCAGTTTACAGTTGTCTTTTTGAGTATCTTCCTGCTGTGCTGAAATCTTCAAAAAACTTCACTTCAAGTTGGCTTTATCTGGAATATTGGAAACAATGATTTAGCTTCTTGTTGAGTAACAAACATTTCCTCTATGTTCTGATTCAAAGGCTATTAAATTACATGAAAATTTCAGAAAAGTAATATTTATCAAAATAACCAAACCAACAAACATGGGTGTCTTTAACAGCTGGTTGTCACATCAGTTTATCTTTATTGCTAGTTGTGAATAGGTGGAAATAGCACTGGGTGGTGTTTCTGTGTCAAAAGTGATAATATTCTAAGTCATCAAAGCCGAAAAGTTGTATGAACTGTGAGAAAAATTCTGCAGACATAAAGCCAAGATGAATGGCTGTGCATTGAGAGAAGGAAAGTGTGGGGAAGTAGGTGCTTTCGTCAAACTGCATTGGTATACTGTACACAAACAGGTCTGAATCTTAGTAGAAATCAGCAAAGTGCTATTCTCATTGCATTTCATGGAGAGTTTCTCTCTGCAACGTCTCATGGATTTTATTGCATTATCATCCCAAATTCACCTCATTAACTGGGTGCCATGTCCTTATGGCTCCCCTTCATCCAATGCTAGCCCAATTCTACCACTCGCAGTGTGCAAAAATATTCGTCATTGTTGGGATCCATGATACCATCGCCATGTCCAAAAGGATGTCTTGAAACGATAATGCACTTGCAGTCTAGAGCTGCCCTGCACAGTTCAAGACATTTGCCCTGGACATTGCTGACGAGGGGAAATTGGTGCCCCACTTTGCAGTCAGGAACTTGGAGGCCCTGGTTGTTGGAGTGATGCTGAGGAGGGCTTTCATTTTCACCCAGGACCAGCAGAAGAGGCATGATGCTAGAATCTGCCAGCCCTAGTCCAAGGTTGCCACCTGGGTCAGTGCAGTATCAGCCATCCAGAGGAATGCTTAGTAAAATGCAAGACAACCTTCTCCATGTGAGTAAATGCCATTATCTTCTCTTTGCTACTACACACTCACTCTGTCTCTGCTATTGCACACACCTCCCACCAAAGCTCATGCTTTACCAATCTCACTGTTGCGTTCAGCATCTTTCCTCACTAATTCTTACTCACCAAACTCCAAACCTAACACATACTAACCTTGCATGGCCCCTCTGGTGCCTACTCACTCACTTGACTACCTCACCACCTTTCCCCAACTGCACCAGCACTAACAGCTGTTTAATTCCAGGAAAAAAAAATACTCGCAATAGGGCTGAAAGAGCCAAGCTGGGTGGTGAGGTGGCCAGCATATGGCTGCTCAGCCCCTATGAGGAAAAAGATCATGGCCCTCACTGGCAAAGAACCCTGAGATGCTCCCTCGTCCAAACCATAAGCTGGGTGTTTGTCCTGCACATAAAGTGTCCGGGTAGCAACATTGCAATGAGAGTTCCCAGTGTGCTCTGAAGTGCAGCACTGAAATGCAGCTGCAGATCAGAGATGTGCTATGATGATGCAGTAAGTTGTTGTTGAATGCCAATGTCTGTGGATGAGGGGCTCATGTGGGTGCTGCCCATGGAGTATGCCCTGAGATGTTGGTGACTGGTGTCCAAGATAGGAATAAGCAGTGACCTGGAGTCATCAGGTAATCGCTCTGACTTTCATATTGGGAATTCTCAGCATCTAGTTTTTAGTAGGTGGAAGAATGGGAACCTGTACATTAATGAGGTGAGATTGGGTAGTAATCAGGATGATAATAAGCAATATCCATGCTAAACGTTTTCTTGTCACTCACTAGCGGGAATCTTGTCTCACCATTCAATGCTTGGTTGGAAAATGGGAATTTTTGATCTCGATATCACTAAGGATCTCACTAGACATCTCACCTGATTTTAGCAAATTTCTCAGCATGGCCGATATCAGGCTGGGAAGATCCATTCACAAATTCCACTTAGCAGACCCCACCCCACCAACCTGGCAGCTGAGCCCTCATAAAGTTAAATCCCATATTTAACCAATACCATATCATCTGAGCCCAATCTAAGGTGTGACACATTTCATAACTATTGAGCATGCTTTAGAGACAGAAATACTTCTGATAAATCACAAAGCAATGCTGATGGTGTCCATACAAATTCAGACTGTTTACTGCCTCCTGGAGGAGAGAACATAGTGATTGGATGTGGTAGTGGGAGAACCAATGGCCAAAGTACAAATTCCTTTCTTCATTTCAATATTTATGCCATATTAAATACAATTTCCATTGAATTAAGTCACCAGGTAGGTAGCACACATTGTAAGCTCTCAGATGGCAGATTAATGGCAGGTAAAAATATTGAACATACTGCATCATATTATAGCCTTCGTGCAGGCTAGCTGATTTTTTTTTTCAAATATAAGAAAGATCCAATTACTCAGAACCTTCAAATGTTTAGATTTCAGACTGCCCAGATTCAGACTATCCAACTTAACATAGAACCTCATTACTGTTGCCAAGGTTTCTCATCCAACTGGAGAGTTGCATCAGGTGTTCATACCAGTCAGTTGGGAATCCTTACTTTTGCAGCCCAGGTGGCATCTAGGTTGGAATAATGGAATAACTGATGTTAAGAGACAAGCTACCACAAAATGAGTCGAACATTGTATTAGTTGATTTCAATGCACTGAGTTAATGATTGTCAATATGCTGCATTTGTAAGTTTGTTTCTTTATGCCATATCTTAAACAAATGTCGTAACTATTCAAACTATAAATATTATCAAGTCTCATAGCCTTTTGTGTATACAAGTGTATCCTATTGCTCAGCAGAGCACAAATAACTTTATCTAAACTAAGCAAAAATAAAATAACTATTGCGTTTATGTAAGATGGTTTTAGTCCCCATCTATTACCAATTCTTATGTCTGAAGCAGCAACGAATATATATTTTCAGTTATTGTACAGAGGTTTTCATAGCAAAATTGATGTGCAAAGCCTAATGTGCCAGAGGTAATCTGTTGAAGGGGAATCATCTGACCGAAACATTTAATCTGTGGGTGTGCAGACATATTAAATAGTTCTACAGAGAGAAATCAGCAACTGCAGCTATACTCTTTTCTTCCACATTACAAAGGAGTTCAAAACAAGAATATCTCCTTAATTGCTTGGAAGATATTGTAGCAAAGACTCAGTAATTTAAGACCCAGTTCAGTTCATTTTGAAGCCAATTTTAAAGAGTGTTCTGAATTTGCAAGCAAAAGTCTTTGTTAATAAAAGACAACCAATCTGGAGCACGCATTGATTTCAGTCGAAATCTCAATTGAAGATTCCTGTAAGAGTCAAAACAATAACATAATGAAAATTCACTATTCTTCATCAGTGTTGAATATAGTTTGCAGATATTTGAGACTAGTTACTGATGAGTTAACTGCTAACAGCATAAATTGGGGGAAAAAAAACTTGTACCAACTGCCACGTATAAAATAGTTGTGATATATTGACTTGAACACATATTGCATTATCCTCATCAAAATGAATGTGCACTTTTTGTCTATCTATATTTATTACAGTATTAATCAGTGTAGAAGAGCTTTGTTTTGCAAAGATTTAATGCATCCTATGTTTTAAATGTGCACATTAACGTGTCTTCAGACTGTGCTGACCTAGGCAGACCAAATTAAACTGGAACAAAAACCTTTGCAATTTGCTGTGTTACTCTGTTGATTGTAAATAGAGATACCACCCACTATACCGTTGGACCCTTTTTTTAACATATATAAATAAGATAAACAAACCTGCAGATATTGAAAACTGCAATGGCAATAGAGCTCAATAAGCGCATACTGAGATTACTCACTGGTGGCAAGCCACATTCTGCTTTAAATTAATGCCACTTCAAAGCATAAATCCAGCACAGATGCTCTCCAATCAGCCTAAATGTTTCCAGCCATTTATTTGTGGATTATTCTGAGCCATGGCTATGTTACTGAACCATGTAGATTGTGATTGGTTGCAGTTGTACTGCTATTTTTGCACCATTGAACACCAGAAGTCATTTAGCCATGACATGGAAGTGACATACAACTTGGGAATCAGTTCCCAATCTGACTACTAAACACACTAAAGTCAAAAGCAAAAGATCGCAGATGCTGAAAATCTGAAATAAAGAAAGCATGCTGAAAATATAGCATACGCCAGCATCTACAGAAAGAGAATACAAAGTGAATGGGCAGGTTTTAATAGAATCTGCTGAAACAGACATGATGGCACCTGGGCCTTGGAGATTGAACATCCAAATCCCAACAGCATGAAAACAGTCCTGCTGTTGGTAGAAAGGCAATTAGTCTCATTAATGGGCCACTAAGATACCAGTTGTCCCTGATTCTTCCCCACCCCCACGTGCCCCACCCCCACCCCCCCCCCCACCCCCCCCAGATTTAATGATGGCTTACGGATTGGCTCAGAGGGCCCGCATCAAACCCTTGCTGAATCCAGTCTCTTGTCTATGCATTCAACCCCACTAACCTCACTGACCAATGACCGTCTCATTGCCCACTCTATTTTTCCAGCAATCTCGTGATGATCCCCGATAAAAGCCTCAGTACATTACTAGCAGTGGTCACCTCTCCTGAAGACTTTGCCAGTATTAGAGAGCTACCAGCCTAATTGGCCAGCAGCTTTTGGGGGCAGTATTTCTGTACTCTTCGGGTCTTAAACTAAAGTTAATCTATGTGAAGCCTCCTCTGTGAATATGTCACATGCCACTTTGGCAACTTTAATTTTGTACCTCATTATTGTGAAACCAGGCTCAAAATGTATTGGGGTGGTCTGTGCAATATCTTGTGGGCTATCCCTTGCATTCTAGAGCTTCCATTCTCAGATCTGTAGTGTAGTATGAGTAAAGCAGTAAGTTTGGACCTGAACTGTTTCCAATTGTTGCAATTCCCTCCATCTGCCTCATCCCAACCACTTCCCCATAGCCATTGCCCAATATAACATTAT